ATATATGTATATAATTTTTATAAATAAAAGTACTATGTTCCGATTTAATCTCCAACTGAGCATTGCATCATTTAATTATTTGTTCTGCCGTGTTAACTCTGAAACAATTGTTACTATAATAAAATTTCTTACTCAATATGCTAAGTTAATTAAAATAATGCTTTTCACTTTCAAAACTTTATTACAATTTTCAATAATTTTGCTGATGTTATATATTATATAAGAGAGAGCAGAAATATTAGAAGAAACTGCTCAAATAAATTCTACAGATATTCTTCAAACAAGTGATGGGCATGTGAAATTATTATCAGTTGTTTCAGGATTAATTTACAGAATAAATGGAGATTATTATGCAAACGAAATTTTTCTGTTAACAAGTATCAATATGCGATAAAATCTAAATAGGACTGTAATGAGCTGAGCATGATGGCAGAAATTTGTCTTTGCAAGAAATACAGACTGTAATGAGCTGGGCATGATGGCAGAAATTTGTCTTTGCAAGAAATACATAGCAAGTAGCTGTTCTCAGTTTCGATGGCAGAAAGTATAAAAGACACTTCAAAAATATTGGAGGACTTTACAACCAGAATAGGCAAGACTGAAGAATCTCATCTTTGACCATGGTGATCACAGAACTTTCATAATGTTTCTCCCAACTCAAAGAAAAGATAGGCTAACAAACATCGAACTGGCAAACTAATCAAGAAGAGGGAGGAACCTTCTTAGGTTAGGGGCATCAATATATCAGAATTTCAATCATTCTGCCAACATATCTACAATTCATGAAAACAAATTGGACATGTCTCATGTCAACCATGATAATATGCAAAGTTGGTTGTTTAAATATGAGCAACTCTTTTCTTATTACAATATTTTATAATCTCAATGCTTCATCATTGTCTCAATTAATATGAAGGGAATGACACTAAGGCCGCACTAGTGGATGTATGCCAACAAGAAACAAATTAAATTCTTGGCAAAATTTTAAATGTGACGTTTTAAATGATTTGTTCCAACACCATATAGAGATGTATAAGATAAATTATTAAAATTAACGTAGAAATCATCAGTCTAAGAATACTATAACCAATTTGAGGAATTATCAAACCAAATATCAGGTATGGCACATTCAATCTTTCAAATTTTATTTGAATTAGATTTATGTTTAGACATTATAAGAGAAGTAAGAGCCCTCCAACCACATACACTATTACAAACCTTACAATTAGCCACAATAATAGAAAACATATTTGATAAACACTGGATCACAAACTAGATTCAGCAACAGCCGAAACAGCATCCCAACATCACCAAGACAAGGAACAACCACCAATACTAATGGCAACTCCATTACCAATGAATGAGAGAAGAGCTAAAGGTCTTCATTTCAATTGCAATGATAAATTCCACCAAGTACACGTATGTAAATCAAATTTTTTTCCTCAAGTAGTGATTAATGAAGAACAAGTTTAGATTAACGAATCAACCAAAGAATCTTTAGATAGGACTATGACATTTCAAAAAACACCAAAAATAAATTTTAATACTTTAAAAGCCACCAATCACGAAGAACAATAAGACTAGGAGGTAGCATTGCCAACACAACAATATAGATATTAATAGATAATGGATCAAACTTAGAATTTAATGTAATCTAGATTAATAATTCATCAAGTACAATTACATATTTAACAAGCATCTTTATTTAAGGTGTTTGTTAGCAATTGTAATGCCTTAGAATGCTCAGGTGTATGCCCAAATATACCAATCTACATGCAAGTATATCATGTTTTCATAGACTCTACATGACCATAATAACCATAGAGAAACATGAAATAAACTACAACAAACTACTCGTAAGAAAATACATGAGGTTTTATAGCATCACCAAAAAAATATTCCAATCACCAATATAATTAACTCCAACCGCAAGGTAGATATGCAAATTCACCTATAACCAGAGGCAAAACCAAAAAATGTAAAACCAAATTGTTATCCCTACTTTTGGAAAGCTAAAATGGAATCATTAATGAAAGAAATTTTATATGTTGTTATATTTTGAGAAGCACAAGTTTTTTTTCCCCCAATCATAGTAGTGAAAAAGAAAGATGAAATCTGAAGATTATGTATTGACTACAGAGTTTTGACCAGCTAATTGCTCAAGATAGATTTTTCATACCAACAGTGGAGAAACTCATATATGAACTACATGGAGCATATATATTCTCCAAGCTTAATTTAAGAATAGGATACCATCAGATTCAAATGGCCATAGAGGTCATACCCTACCTATAGAACACATGAAGGGCA